GGTTAGAACAATTAATATCGAGCTTAAACGAAGAAAATAATAATTCGAGAATAATTTTAGTGGGGCAAAAAGATCTGGAAAGTGGCTTGTTAGGTCTTGTTAATTGTTTGAGAAAAGAACCAGGTGGTGAATTAATAAGAGGTATGCTAATCCAAGATGAGGCAGCTCCGGAATTTTCTTTAAACGAGCCGTTGTACGCAAAGCAACTCGAGATTGATTTAATTACAAATGTCTTACGTCCGGGACAGATATGGGGATCATACAGACATCTTCCGTTATCATCTTTGGCACCCAAACCCTTATATCACGCTTTTGTTAATCAAATCGTAAGTACTAGTTTTTAAAAAAACATTTTTTAATCAAATTTGTAATTGAATTCTCTACAATAAATCGTGTTACCCTTAGATTCGGGGTGATTTAAATTCATTTCGCTGGATCGAGGGTCCGCTTGCTTTGGATCAGCATAAAAATATTGTTCACATTATTTATGCGTCTATTAATTTTAAAGATGTAATGATATCAACCGCCAAAATCATTATGGATGAATATACGTCACGTGGACGATTAGAGGAATGTATGATAGGTTTCGAATATGTCGGTATCAATAGTGCTGGACGCAGAATAATGGGAATTTTGGAAAATAGGTACGTCATCGCATACTAATAATTGTTTACAAAAATTTGAAGCTTATAGCTGTACTAGAAAAATACATAATTTAGATAATTTAAATAATTGAATAAAATAATTTGGACAGATATTGTAGAAAAAAATATTTTGGAAAAAATTAAATTTTAGTTTTTATAATAAATCAAAATAAATCAGTATAATTAGTCAGTGTATCTATATATTGAGATTTTAATTCAAAAGCAGAATTGAAATATTTTTATTATATTGAAAAATATGCATAATAAATTATATATTTTACTTTTCTCATTTAAAATATATAATAATTTTTTATTTAGATGTATAGCAAATATGTGCGTACCCAATAAATATTTAAGCTGGGAAATTCCCGACGAATGGACGCTGGAGGACGCTGCCACAATTCCATGCGCTTACGGAACATGCTATTACGGATTATATATGAAAGCACAAATGAAAAAAGGAGATAAGATATTAATTCATTCGGGTACTGGCGCCGTAGGTCAGGCCGCGATTAATCTTGCGCTTTTCAAAAACTGTGAAATATTCACTACAGTTGGTACTCCGGAAAAGCGACGATTTATTAGAGAAACCTTTCCATCTATTCCAGAGGATCATATTGGAAATTCGCGTGATACCAGTTTCGAGCACATGATATTGCAACAGACCAAAGGTCGTGGTGTAGATATCGTACTGAATTCATTAGCCGAAGATAAACTTCAGGCGTCTATTCGTTGTCTCGCAAAAGGAGGACGTTTTTTGGAAATTGGCAAATTCGATTTTATGACCAACAATATGTTAGATCTGTCGGTCTTTTGCAAAAGCATTAAATTTTATAGCGTCATGTTTGATAATTTTTTTACGGTGTACACGAACGAACGTAGAATGGAACTGCAGAAACTACTAGACAAAGGTATTCGTAGCGGAGCTATCAAGCCAATAAGCAGAAAAGTATTTCAAAGAAACGAAATTAAGTCTGCATTTAGATACATGGCAGCTGGAAAGCATATAGGAAAAGTAAGTCATATCACGTATCAAGAGAGGCAGTACATCAGTAAGCAATGAATATAATCGAGTTAATATATTACAATTTTTAGATAATTATAAAAATACATAAAGAAGATGAATCTATCAACGCACCAATTCTAGCACTTCCGCGTTATTATTGTATGGCGAACAAGACATATGTCATTTTTGGCGGCTTGGGTGGTTTCGGTTTAGAATTAGCAGATTGGTTCGTCATTCGAGGTGCCGAAAATCTTGTGCTTATCTCGCGCAAAGGAATAAAAAATGGATATCAACAAATGAAAATTGACCTGTGGAAATCTTACGGAGTAAAAGTATTTGTTATATCAAACGTCGACGCATCGGACGTAGATGATTGCGAACGTATATTGAGAACAGCGGAAAAGATAGCACCAGTAGATGCTATATTTAATCTTGCTGTGGCATTGAATGATAAGATCTGCCAGAATCATACTGCAAATACATTTCAAGAACCATTTAATGCGAAAGCTTGGGCAACGAGAAACTTGGATCAATTGTCTAGAAAGGTATGTCTTCAGCTTCGACACTTTGTTGTCTTCTCTTCAGTTTCCTGTGGCAGAGGTAATGCTGGACAGAGCAATTACGGTATGGCAAATTCTGTAATGGAAAGAATTTGCGAGAGAAGAGTTCAAGAAGGTTTACACGGACTAGCGATTCAGTGGGGCGCAGTGGGCGATGTCGGTCTTGTGGCCGACATGCAAGATGATGATAAAGAAATGGTCATAGGCGGCACTTTGCAGCAAAAAATAGTTTCCTGCATCGAGAAACTTGAAGAATTTTTGTTACAAAAGCATCCTGTAGTAGCGAGTATGGTTGTAGCTGAGAAGCGTTCAGATGCCTTTGGCACAGGCAATATTGTTGAAACTGTTGCTAATATTATGGGTAAGTCATATGACATAAAAATTAAATTGTTTAATTAAGTAATTAAATTAATGTATATTAAAGCGAATCAAAATGTTAACATATAGGTCTGAAAGATTTAAATAACGTTGCTCGTCACACACCATTGCCCGAGCTTGGCATGGATTCGATGATGGCTGTGGAAATTAAACAGACTTTAGAACGGGAGTTCGATGTTTTCCTTACAGCTCAAGATATTCGTTATCTTAATTTTGCCAAACTTATAGACATGTTCAAAGACAAAGATACGTCGAAGGATAAAAGTGATCGTGATGAAAACGAATTAACTGGTATTAATCTGCTCGTTCGTTTGATAGGTAATGATGATTTAATTTCTGATGTCTGTATAGACATGCCAACAAAAAAGAACATGGCAAGAAGCGAAATATTTCTAGTGCCAGGAATAGAAGGTTGCGGAAGTATTTTTGATTCGTTAGCGCATTTAATCGAAGCTCCAGCAACATGTTTACAACATGGAACGTATCACATTGGTCCAAACTGTACTTCAATGAGCGAAATTGCTGATTGCCTCTTAAAAGTATATAAATTTTATATTTAATTACAATTATAATATCTTATAGAACATTACAATTGGCTAAATACATTTATTATAGTATTATTTTAATATGTTTATATACGTTTGCAGCATCTTTTGAGCAAAAAGAAATTGTGTCAAAACTTTGTAATAGTGGGTTATTCTATGGGTTCAGTGATTGCAATTGAATTAGTACGTAAGATAGAAGAAATGAATCTTCAAGGCCGTGTAGTGCTTATTGATGGCGCACCTGAGCATATGAAAGCAATTGCAAATCAACATTTACCTTTTAACACGGTCGGCGAACTTGAAAATAATATTCTTTTGGGAATAATGGATACTATACAACCAGTACTTAGTGGAAAGGTATATTTTTCAAAAGTATTATTTTTAAATGAGTAATTTTTTGATACATAAGTTACAAGTAATTTAATCTTTATAGCTTCTTTTGGAGTTAAACAAATGCATCAATTGGAATGAAAAATTAGATATTTTCATATCTCATGTTCCACCAACTTATACAAAATTATCAATGAAATATAATAAATCTGTATGTACAACAATTTACGAGCGAGTAATCGCTCTTCATAAATATGATATTACACAATTACCGAAAATTGAATCACCGATAATACTTCTGAAACCTACTATACAATCGCTGCACTTTTCTCAAGAAGATTACGGCTTACATAAGGTAATTACATGAAGTAACAATTATGTAATGTAATTATATGTTGTAATAATTATAAAGATTATTTCTATTTAATTGTTTCAATTGTGAAAAATAATTTTCAGATAACTAAAGGAAATGTGGAAGTACGTTATGTCGAAGGTAATCACATTACCATGCTAGACAATGATAAAATCGTAGCTGCGATCAATGGAGATTATATCAAATGTCAAAAATTATAGTTAGATGTGACACATAATGATAATAATACATCTATTAATAAATCTATTAATAATAAAAATATCTATTCGAGATCATAAAAGCTAAATTATTAGATATTATACAGTATAAAAATATTTAATATATTTAACAATTTTACACGTTTTCAATTAAAAACGTAATAATTGTTTGTTAACATTGTATTAATATAATTTTTGTATAAAATACGGTATTAACATGTATTTATTTTGTTAAATTATAATTATTTATAGAGTTTAGTATTTTTACAATAAATTTATTTAATTTTGAATGCTTCAAGTAGCATTAAATCAATGAAAGTGTAATGTATTGTATTGGTTTTTGACAGAATGTAAATTTTACTTTATCTATTCATGCTTTTTATTAAAAATTATTTTTATGTACATTTAATTTATAAATATAATAAAAAACATAACAAATATACATATGTAAAAATTATATTTGTTTAGAAAAAAGTTAAAAATAAATATGTGAAATTATTAAAAAGTGAAAAAGTTTTATATTTTTTTAAAAGCAACACAAATTTATATACACATAGAAGTCTTTTAGCATAATATTATTAAAAACTCATTTGTTCAAATTGTTCAATATTATTCTTGTAGATGATTTAATATATTCTATAATCATTGATGCAAAATACATTAATGGTGATAAATAATATTATAGACAATCTAGATTATATATTATAGACAACTCGCATTTCTCAGGGAATACATCAACCGCACATAAAAATGTTTGGTAAATAAAAGAAGGAAATAACCGAAATAATCATTAATTGTCAATGACTATCTTTTTTTGTAGTGTCCCATTCACGCATCGCTACTTTACGCTACTTCCTTTCATCCGTGCAGCATACACCACTCTGCGCAAACTCAACCCCACTCTGATACTTTATTACTCATCCATGTAGAACACCCTGTGGTCGAATCAGTATAACGGAGCGCGTTTGACGCGATGTTACTATGCAGTATACTTCGTGCTACGTTATCCGCGTCTTTTGGGACTATTGTGCAGATTGCAATCTTCTTACTGCAAAACTCCAATATCTCCAGAGTGCTCGCGTCGATGCCACCAGGAGCCGGTCAGTGACTTATTGTTAGTGCGATACGTTTATAAATAAATTTACTATAAATGGACAAAAATCTATGCGAAAGAATAATAAATGCTTTTTTTATGTATTTTTTAAAATATTTTCTATATTAATGCATTCCATGCATTGCTTTTCTTTAATAAAAATTATAGTGTGCTTAGTTGAATGCTTAAAAGATTACCATTTGGACTTATCTTTAATAAAGTATTTTGTATTTGTACAACATTTTATACAAATCGCATTGATGTTGTTTGAAATATTATAGAATGTTGTAAATTTTCCTATTTTATTTTATTCCTATCTTTGTGAAGAAATTATTTCATAACACGACATATCTATTCCGCTTCTTATGAATTATGCTGAAATTATTACACGCATAATGAGTTTATTTTACGAGTACGCATATATTTGAATTTATATTGCTGATGTTTTACGGTAAATTTTCACGCGCGTATATGTAACGTGTGTGAATCAGCGACGTATACGTAGTTCCACGTGCTCGATCGATTCGAGGTGAACCTTTCTTTCACATCATGATACTCACGTGCGCATGAAAATACAAGCGACGTTCCTCGTGTTCCGTCATCTTATTTCTGTACGGAGATGCGTTCTGCTGTAACTTTTTGTTGTCAATGATGCTACCGATTTTCCATATATGTAAATTAAAATCGAATTATCGATAGCCAACTAGGCGCTAGTCTATATGAGACAACTTAAGTAATTCATGCAGGTGTGCACCTTAGCAGGTAATCAATATTATTATCGGTACATGCACTTATGTATAAGTACTTATGCGCTACTATTATTCTGATTACGATATTTTCGCGATAAAATTTATTTTAATTTTTGTATCGCTATTCTGTAATATTTAAATAAAATTTGTATATCAATGTATGATTGTCACCGTAAAAGAAAATATATTTTTTTAATTAAAAAACAAGTTGTATCGAGGACATAATGATTTGATATGTATATATCGGGGAAAAGTCTCAATGTAATTTTACTCGTTCTTCGTAAATTTAAAGGAAATTATCAATGAGAATTGGTTGCGATGGAATAAACGACGCGGCATACGGGGGTTAATAACGATCAATTCAACTCATTCTCACCATAGGAACTCCGTTTTCTATCGATTTAACACTACCATCACGTACTAAAAATACCTGAGATATGCCGACTATAAACTCTGCGTATGAATGATATGATTGAGTATAGTTCAGTGACGGAAAAAAATATGCATTCGCGTTTATATATTATACATGTTGCGTGCATATTTATATGAAGAGAAAGTTATACTGGAATTATTATATTCTCTTTGGATAATTGTGAGCAAATTTGGAAACATAGACGAGTTACTCGTCCTCGTAGACACGAAGTTGCAGAACCACACGAACGATCAGGATGCGCGTAACTTCGCAACAATATTTTCACGCACCGGAAAGTCAAACGAACCGTGAAACCAGGTCGTCGTAACAACGCGAAAAAAATTGCGCGTGATGAATAGATTGTGGACGTGTTCCACGTAGTGTCATAATTGATCGACAGTTTCAGCGATGACCGGCATGCAAAGATTATTCAACGCAGAATCAATTTTATTCCAAAGTGCATCTTGCTAAAATATGAGTAGATTTCTTTTTATACAATCTGAATCAACATTAACATAAAACGTTAATTTAAAAGGACATTACCCTCCAACTATTAAAATATTTAGAATGACATAAGAAACAGCAATAGCTATATTATATTTCTCGTTTGTAATCACAAAAATAGTTCTGCTCACGCATGTAAATGGATTATACAATCTTCATAAGCTTCGGTCACGTAATCGCGTGATAAGAAATTTCTTCCTCTCTGTTGTATTCCCCGTCTTTATTATTATCGTATCTATTATGATCGGCTCATCTTCAGGCATGTCGTGACATCGCCAATAAGTCGCATGACGGTCGGTCATTGGCCCCATCGACAAGGTGCCTCGTGGAAAAGCTTCTACGTATATACACACGTGTTTTCTTGCGTGTCCTGCTTCCTTCGCAGAATCTTTACACAAGTTACAGAATCAACAGGACACGAAACCCATGAATTTTAAAATTTATGACATTATTAATATTTATCATAATTGTTATATTAACATTAATGATTCATATCTTACACACATATTGGAAAACTACGGTAATTAAGACTTTATTATTAATAGATATAATTAAAGGTATTATATACCAAGATGTATAATATCTTAAAATTTGTATAAACATGTATGTTGCATATTTGAAATTTTAAGATAGAGAAACGAAATAAAATTATTTTTGTAATTTTATTATAATAAATTTTTGATTACGCGCGCATTAGCCATATTTTTATCAGATTATTACATGATCAGATATTTTATACAATAAAGTCAAACATAATGAAATCATGGAATGGCTCTTGCGCCTATTTAAATTTAATACGTATCTCATATTTAGGAATTTTTGTAAGTTTTATTAGTTATTCATGTCGGCTGAAGATGGCATTATTTACTTATTTCAAAATATTTGTATGCGAATAAGAAATATCAGGTTGAAGGGTCGAAATAGCTTAGTGGTAAGAGCAATCGCCCGGCAAGCGAAAGACTCGGGTTCGATTCCCGATTCAGCCGATCAATTTCAACCTGATATTTCTCAATTAATATGTTTCCCTGAACATCCTTCACCTCAAAGGAGATGGAAAAGTTTTAGAATAATATATTAATATCAACATCACAAGTTGTGTTTCGAGTTTCGATCGAATAATTAATCATCAAAATTTGCACAGACATTCGACGTCAGTTTTAAGGCGGCGAGAACTGACTTACTTATTTAAAAATATTTGTAAGTCGTTGAGCAATATCAGAATGAAAGGTCTGAATAGCTCAATGGTAAGAGCAGTCGTCCGGCAAGTAAAAGACTCGGATTCAATTCCCGATTTTGGCCTGTTATTTTTTTTTACTTATATAATTTTCCATAAGAGGATATAATGTCCATCCTCTTTTCCATAAGAGGAAAAGGGGATGGACATTATTAATTTGAAATTTTTTGAATTAAGAATTATTAAAAATTAAAACAATTCTTGACATAAAAATTATTTTTGCAATACCATATCAACAAAAATTTGTGCCTTGAGCATACTATTAAGTTTCGACGAGAAATATTAATTTTATCAAAATTGAAATTGCAATAACGTCTGCGTTTGGTTCTTGCGTCTATTTAAATTTAATATGTATCTTATATTTAGAAAACTTTGTAAGTTTAATTAAATGAAATCAATTTTTGCCCGTATACAGAAGACGAAATTATTCTGATTGAGCATCTACCAGGACGGCGGGTGCATCTGCAAGACTTCTTCTGGACCGGTTTGGAAGATGCGCCGCCATGGGTGGATCCTAATCAGGGTTTAACATTTTACGAGACAAAAACGATCGTTCATACTGTCACAGTTTACACTCCGAACAACGAGGAAGGCCCATCGGACCCTATATTGCCTCATCGTCCAGATACTTACAATCCGGAATGTATCACATGCATAGAACCTACACCTAGATTGGACGATGACGACGATCAGAGTATCGGAGTTCTTATCGGAGATGATCCAGGTCCAAGGTAGCTGCAATTAATTAAAAATAAATTGTAATAAAATAATATAGGCATTAAATGTTTTGGAAGTTAAAGAATTAAGGAACGACAGAAAAATATTTTGATTAATAAATCGATATAATATATATAATTATCAAATTATTCTGACATAAATACTGATAAAATAAATATTGTTTCTAATGTAGAAATAATGAAAATAGAAAATGTGCAATTAATAGATACTGGCTGTTGACGGTTCTTCGACCAGGAGAGGCTGTGCCACCCAAAGTCGAACTTCGTTTAGCTCGCTTATATCGAGCCGCGTTTTCCAGACAGCAACAACGGCACCTTGGTCTATTATCGACAGATCCGCGATCACGAAGAGGCACGTTATTACGTGACTTAATTGGCCGAAAGGTAAAATGATTTTTTCCAAAAATTTATATATTAAATTTGTCCATGATTTTTAATTCTTCTCGGTCCGCACAGGTTATACCAGAACGTTTTGAACCTTTGTCTCGAGGAAAAAGTCATCAAGAAGAGATTCCCGCCAATGTAACAAAAGTTCAACCGTCCGAATTAATCGTCGGTATCGTCGAGAGCTCTTCGATTCTTGCAGAACCGGAAGCGAACATTTCGAACTTAACCGACAACAATAAATTGTATTTTCCAAACGATTCGCAAATCAAATCTATGAGAATGATCGAAATTCCCAGGCCGAAAAAAATGTTACTGCCGACATTCGATGTCGGCGCAACGGAGGATAATGTGAAATCTACGAAGGAAGAAGACTTTGCTTTGAAAAAGATCATCAAAACGTTGAAGGGAGAAACAAGATTACCTTTAGACGACTTATCTACGACTATCGAACCATCGTATCCCATTAAAACTGATGATTCCAGTGAGCAAATTCCGCGGGAATTGATGCCTACGTATACAGAATCCAAGTCTGATTCAAAGTCTAATACCGATGTCGTCTCCAGAAACCGATCGAGCGATGCAGGTATGCGTTCGAGGTTGCGTTTAGCGGATGGCTCGATTCCGGGGGTCGTAAAGGTCAGAATGCAGAATACGAGCGTTATCGAAGGCGGCGCGATGAGATTGATCTATTCGGTTCATCTCGACGATAAGCCCGTTCCCGCCGAAACTGCCGCGAGAGACATGGCCCTTCTTTCGCCCCAAGGAAGTCGCCCTGGAACTTGGGGCACCGGTGATCATTCAAAGCGAGCGTGAGTAAATAGTAGTTTTTACTCGGCAGAAGTTTATAGAAACAGAACATTAGAAATGATCTATATTTGCAGCTTATTTGAAGGAGAGTCGACCTCTGGCTCTATCAAGAAAGAGGGACGCCTGGCTCTTGATCGGTGCAGCCAGCGCAGGCGTCGTTCTTTTAATTTTGGTTCTCACTGGTTTGATCGTGGCCGCCAAAAGAAAGAGGGCACATAGTGCTGTCGTTGCGCCACCCAACAGAAGTATTCTTAAGAAGGAACGTGAATATGCATCCACGACACCTGGCCTCGATAACGCTGCATTTTCAACGTCGGAAACCGAAATTAAGGTACCCTTACATAATTTTTTTTTAAATATCTGTCAAAATAAAAAGGAAATTATTTTCTGTATTGAGAATATCAATTTTTATGCCTATATTTTAAACTTTAATTTAAATTTATATTATATGCGAAATATTTAATAGAAATGATTAAATATACATCTGCTAATTATATCATGCAATAAAAGATCTCATAATGAAAGAGAATACTTTATAATTTTTAAAGTTTTTACCTCGCGTGTTAAAAGTTATGGGATATCATAAAAAAATAAGCCCGAAATTGTTAAACCGGCACGCGAACGATCAACAAACGATGTCGGAAATTGCGAGGAAAGACAATTTGTTTCCTCGATGTCAGGGACGATATTGATTCTAACAGAAGTATTACTCCCTTTCCCATTCGGGCAAATTATTACGCTTTGAATCGCTTATCTTCGCCTCTTATGCGGCTCTCCCTTGTACGCAGACGGACGGTACCAGTCAGCGACAAACTCCGCGAACTTTATCCAGAACTCCGATCACTCCCGACACGCCTGATAGTTTAGAATTGGGCATTCATGAAGTTTCCAGCGACGACGACGAGGAACCGAAAAAGACTCGCGGCTCGACCCCTTGGAGCATTCAAGAACATCCAGCTAAGAAAGCAAGGTAGTCTCAGCAAGTTCTCGACAACTAATATTAACAGAAAAATTAATAATGATAATTACAATTATTAATTATAATTAATAATAATTTTATTAATATTCCATCCATTTTAATCTATAATAAAAAGAGGAAATATTTATTATGTAATAATTTTTATTTAAAATAATTATAAATTTTATGATAGAACCTCGCATGCAAGAATGACGAGAACGAACGCAATAGACCATCCCAGGACACCAGATTCATTAGACACGGTGACTGATCACGTAGAGACATTGGAATCTTTAGAAAATGGTTACGTGAAACGAGAGGAAGCTACCGCTTCGCCGCGATCTTACTTGTCAATGCCATCGTGCAAACAATTTCCTAGCATGCGTAGCGTGGAACCACTGTCAAGAGTGCTGGAACCCGTTATGGTACTTAGAGAAAAATATGAAATAACACATTGCTCTAATCGTTATAAATTCTTCATATTAATGATAAAATATCATTCCAGGTCAGACACTTAGATATCGATTCTCCAGAATTAGTTCGCCGCGATAGAGATGGTAATATTGACGATACGTTTCTTACAAGAACGTTGAGTACCTCGAAGGATCCTGGAGCTGTAGGACCAATCGTTTGGAATCTTAGTAAGCAGTTATTTTCGACAGAAGGTAAGCAATATCATTTTTTCTAGCATTTGCACGTTTAATATAAATTTGTGAAATCATTTAAGAATACTTTTTAGCGAGACATTAACATTTCTGCGACTTCGATTACGGACGAATAAATACTAATCTCACACAAATTGTTATAATTTAAAAGTGAAATTGTATCGATTTGTTCGTTCGCAATCGATTATAATAAAATGTAAGGAATATCTGTCTCTTCACAATCTCTCGAAAGACTCAACTTGTCTAAAGGTAACGGTGCGTCCGAAACGGATGTCGATGGAATGTACCATCTACCATCAGGACCCGTGGGTCGCGCCCGGAGGAGACTCCACGAACTCCTCGAGGACTCTTTCAGTCTCTTCGGAAGCAGAGACGTCAAAATCAAAGAGCCGCAGCAGTCGCAAACGTCACAAACGTCGGCTTCCTTTGCCCGTACCGCGGATACACTCGCGATATTTTCGGAGACGAGAGGCAAATCCGCCCACGTCAGGTACATATCCTTCTTCTTCTTCTTCTCCTTCTTCTTCTAACAGGTAATTAGCTATTAAAGTTTAATTGTCAGACTGTTATTAAATATAAATATCTATATTTCATTTTTTTTCAGAATCCATAAAAGAAATATATTTAATAAAAAACATGATACGAAAATTGTCTCGCGATATGTTACTGTTATATATTATATTATATTTTATTAATGAGTGCGATAAAAGTAATTGTATAATTATGCAGTCCAGTAGTAACGCCAACGATGAAAATAAAAACGAGACCACGTACTTCGTTACCACGTAGAGATCTCGACGAGGATATTCCGGAAACAGGCCAGGCTGAACAGATTCATTCACGCAATGTCTGGGGTTCAAGGCCACTTAGCGCAGGTCCGTTCCACAGACCGAATTTGCCGGAAGTGGATACTAGACGTATATTGACGGACAGCAGACTTCCACCGGAAGATCCTGCAGTACCTTTGATCGCGTCGATCAAGAAGGAACTCGAAAAGTTTTCGCCTCAGTAGAACGCAATTATAAACGGGGTGCAATAAATGTTAGCTTAAATACTCTTGCGAAGTGATATGTCAATTTTAAGAATCAAAAAACGGTGTAAATATCCGATAAACTTTTGCCAGAAAATTTTATAACTCAACATCGAATTTTTTCACTATGATGTAAAATGAAATCATTTCATATACATCGCGATAAAATCGTTTTGCATACACATTTCAAAAGATAGATTTTGTAGTTTCATTGTCACGAAACAAAAATTGTGCCACTAAATTCAGCTTGTCAATTAGTCATTAGCTAATCACTGTACATATTACCATATTGAACATGTAGAATATATGTATATGTAGAATCCATTTGCAACCTTGATACTATTTTAAATTAATTAATAAGTTGAGTTTGACTTACATAAATAATTACGAAAGATATTAATTGCAATAATAATTCTCTCGTAACTTCGATCCGTCCAACGTACTTAGATAAACATACTTTATAACTGAAATACACAATAAACTTATATAACATGTATAACACGTGTGACTATTTTATTAAAATTGTTCTATATATGTACAAAATAATTATATAAAATTATTTTAATCGGAATAAGAAACATGAATATAATATCACAAGTCGTGTCTTTAGGCAGTCTTTACTATTTCTACAAAACGATCATTATTACAAAAATCTTTGTACGTGTGTTCGTGATGGAGCTTGAAATCAGGATATTTATTTGTGAAAAATTGTATATATTCGGGATGAATGGGATCAACCTCCAGAAAGAGACGTCCGCCAGGTTTTAATACTTTGGCAGTGTATTTTAAGAGCGGTTTGATCACTTTTAGTCCATCGTCTCCGCCATCCAACGCCCTGAGATCCTCGTAACTGCGTACAGTAAATAAAATTATTAATTAATTACATTTATAGTGCTATTGAAGAAAGTATTTCTCAAGTATGCCTTGTATATTACATCTTTATCTCGGATTGCAGTTTTGGTATATTTTTCGTCGGCACGTAAGGCGGATTACTGACTACAAAATCGAACAATTTAAATTCAGATCTACATCACTGGCATCGTCCAAGTTCTTCGAAACTTCAACAGTTGCGTCCGACTTTAGAGTTGCATGTATGACTGTGATTTGATTCGCCAAGTTCAAGTTGTTCCGATTTATCACGGTTAAATCGCATGCGTAAGGACTCGTGTCAATCGCTGTGCATTTAATCTGGAAGAAAAGTATATGCATTAAATTTATTGATTAATTTAGCGAAACGTAAAGTAGTATAATATCATTATAGCACGTTATGCACCTTTTTACAAGCGTGAGCGAGAGCCAATGATATTGCACCTGAGCCGCAACCGATTTCCAGGATTTCGCAACTATCGAGTTGCGACGAATTCAGTCTCTTCAATACAAAATCTACTAGTATTTCTGTCTCCGGGCGAGGAATGAAAATCGGTGGCACGAGTTTCACAGTAATGTCCCGAAAATCCCATTCGCCGATAATGTACTGAACTGGCATTCTGCAAGGACTCGATGTTGATGAGCAAGCGCGAAGGATTTCGCGCAGTTCTTCATAAAGGACTCTTTTAAAGGCCTCTTACCTCGATAATCGACATTGGCACAACGACTCCAATTTTTCGATCTGGCTCTCGTTGAGTCGGTCATTTCTGACGTTCAAAATATCGATTATCTGTAAATATAATAATAAAAAAAGTAGAAAAATTGTCTAATCATCTAAAAACAAACTCTATTAGAAATATTTATATTTTTTATATAACATAAGACATATTTGGCCTGTCTTATTATTATACACTATATTCTATTTTAATATATTTTATAAAAACAGTGAACATTTCAAAAAATAATAGTCATAAAAGTCGCGTCAAGCAATTACTCCAATAATTTTAAGCAAAAAATACCTATAACAGTGGAACGCGCATTCGTACGTAAGGATAATGATCAATAACCTTTACTCGTGGAATGATAAATTATAATGAAAAATAGCGATTATTACCTTCTTAGTTCCTATAATGTGCGCAACTATGTGTTCTATCGATTCCACCGGCTCCGTTATGCCTTCGTTCTCGAATCGGTGACTCCATTGATCAATAACATCGCCGATCGTACATACACGTGTGTTCGAACTGAACGACCGTCGCATTGGACATCTCAACGTGACAAAGTTGGGACCATTAATCGTCAAACATTGCACATAGGTAGATATGGATGAGTTATTGAAAGCAGCACACGTCTTCAAGATGTTGCGACACAACATGATGATTCATTCGACGCTGCGGAAGCTGCGAGATACAGATGTTACAAAATATTAGCAGATGTTACTGATGTTGTGCCATGAGCTGATAAACCTATGTTAGAGAATCATCAGAAGTTATATACGTATTTTAAATTTTGTGATGTATAAACTGCTGCCAGCTGGCGAGGCAAAGCTTAGTTGAACGTTTATCGGCAAAATGAATCAATATCATGTACAAAAAGAATAGGGCAATGTACAAAAGAATCGGAGCAAGATGTTCCAAATACATAAAATTATTATATTTCATGTTCAACACTAGATGTAAAATAAAACTTTTCAAAAATGACATTATCAATAAAATAACTTTATACGCTCTGGCAAAAATTTATATTGTTAGAACTTTTTTTCGAAAATGCACTACACAATTATGCTATTAATTACTTAATTATTAGATTGACTCATTTAATTACTATCAAATCATATTCCATCCCTTATTCTTTCCTTCCAAAACACACGTCTATACCTAAATCTCCGATCGACTGTTGGTGAAATCACTCCCTTTCCCAAGTCAGAGACTCGGCGACCAGAGCAGGAGTCAAAGACCTGGTTCGCTTTAGAAGATGCCGCTAAAGCCTGCTCGGCCGGTGGATCGAAAGGTCTAAAGGCCGCGCGCGCATGCGTGGATGAGAGAGTAGCTGTCTGGAAAATGAGGGTGTGCTGGCTAAACAGACCGTTGTCTGGCCAAAGGCGCTAGCAGTCGCCACCGGCCCCGCTCCCAATCCGCGCTGCCATGACAGTCCTTCTCCGTGTCGCGGCGAGTACACCAAGTACCAAAGCGTTTAAAGAGCGCCGCTGCTGACTGATGCACCTATCCGCGTTGCACTGCGAGAAGCTCCACCGAGATCCGTTCTCGGGGTTCGTCAAGGTGCTTGGAATTGCTCCGAACCAGTTCTCCGCGGATCGACCAGGCGCGGCCGTCCTGGACGTGTTGATCATCACTATCATCATCAGCGGGAGTTTCACGAAGCGTGTCCTGGATATATCTGTGTATAAAGTGGTGGATGTTGTGGCGGCGGTGTTGTTGATGTAATGCGTGTCCCGGAATCCCGCACGCACGTCTGGCTCGCTGTCAGTTTCGGAGCACCAGGTATTGGTCCGCGTCGAGATACAACAAGCAGCCACGCTTTCCCTGGATTTGGACGATCGATGCGCCTCGTCGAACCCTGTAGGTAGGTAGGACGCCTTCTCCAAGACTAGGATCTACCTTTTCAACATCTGCGGGGAATAGCATAGCAAAGCTTAAAGTGCAGCTAGCATCGATCGCTATTTCAAGCAACTCGAAAGGTCGCATACCTCGAAAAACTCGCCGGTCATTCATAGTTTTATGTCAATTCATAGCTTTTTGGTGAAATCCTGCTAAACTTCTTCAGAGCTTTCAGGATTCAAAGCTTTCGAAATTTTTTAATAATTCATTGAATAAATCTAAACTGTTTTCTTACAGAAAATTTTCTGATAACAGTAACTTACGTCGTTCTCTATTCGTTATTCGTTTTGTAACGCACTCGAATCAAAGCTAATCGATACATTGATCGCGGCCCAAATTTTCGGAGCAGTCCGCGTGCTCCGAAAAATTCGCCGGCAAGCGAACGTACGCGAATCGTAGTATGAATGATCGATCGATACGCCTGTAGATTCGCCGGCGTAGACCAACGGGATTTTCCGAACCGCCCTTGAACGAAGAATACGGAGTAAGGTGTGGTGGAAAATGAGCTTACATTCGTTCACACTCCGTGTAACGAATAATAACGCCGGTGCTGTGAACGTCATATATATATATAAGCGAGAATAAAGGATAATACGACCACACAGATATTTATTTTATCGCCAATGTGTCATTTCTCATTTCCATGTGGACATGATAGTTTAATGATGTAAGATCGTTTGCATAATGCATACTTCCGCGTGCTCCGATTGCAATTTAAATTATCTCCTCTTCTGATACACGTCTGGTACGAGAAAGTGTATACATACAGAACGTACAATTAAAAATAAACTAAAATGTGTGTCTATTCGTTAGTGATAGTTAATTGTCGCCTTTCTAATTCTCTACGCTCTCTTAGATCTCAGACTGTTATGACTTCTTAATCACTTTTCGCGAAGTCATGCAAATGTGAGTAATGAGGGTATGAAGGCTCGCTCGATGTATCACATTCCACTTTAAACGATATCTGTCATAAGTATAAGAGAAAAAATTGCAATCTCTTTTCTAATTAAGTCCCAATTAAATAATCGATTATTTAATAGATTATTCAACTTTATTTTTAATACGCAACAAGGAACGCGATAATCGCTGAGATAATTGGTCACTTTTCGACAACACTTTCTTATTTCGCTGACTCCGCGACGACAAGAACGCGAACGGTGCGTATATTAGCGGGTTTCGCGAGCAATAAGAAGAAAGAGAGAGAGAAAGAGAGAAATGCCTCCGTGGCTTCGTGCGGTGAATTGCACCGAACAAGGATTGCGTTATCGTGGCTTCTTCCGCCGCGCCGGTGTGTTAACGAACGAGAAGTCCGCGAGTGAATTCGCCGCCGCTCCGTTTCCGCATACTTCGCGATCTCGAATGCCGGAAGCGTCCGGTCACGAAGAGAAGCACTTTGGTTCACACCCTTGCGCGCCAATATCCAGGCGGCCTTCGGCCGAGTGACTCACATATTAATTATACCGAGGAAATTCGATATTCGCGCGTTACCAAGTCGTTGAAATCGAGGAAAATCGCGCGAAACTTCGTTCAAGAATATGCTGACGATTCTTGTAACTAATTAATTGTTTTCTCCAATAAATTCCAGGGGACGATCCTGAGGGCGACTCGATGAACGTCGTGCCGTTGTTGCCGGTCGATAGGGTGCACCGGTACGCTTCGGGGCGAGCCGGAGCATTGGTGGGAGCTTTCTCGGACGCAGGACCGAGCTTATCCCGGCGCGAATCGTGACAGACGGCCGCCTCCTTTCGGCACGTTTTCGGCAGCGGCGACTAAAAAGCGATGCTCGCGATCGGTCAATAACGCCGATCGCTCAATCGCGAATCACGACACACGCTCGCCGCTTGTTTTCACGGACGGTGCTGTGATCACACACATATACATATATACACACACACTGTGATATATACGTGTAATATATATAAAATACATATATATATATATATATGCTACGAGGTGCGAGAGATCGAGACTGTTCGCGATTGCGTCGCGTAGGGCCTCACGTCAAGCACGTTGAAGCAATCGAGAAACGAGATATCTCGTATGTTATCTCTTTCTCGCGTTCGGTTTGGGAACATTTAAAAGTCGAGGAAGATGTTTAACTTTATGAAGAAGGCCGCGGAGAAGGACGACAAGGAGAAGCGGAAGCGCGAGAAGAAGGAGCGGAAGGATGTCAAAAAGCGCGATCGCAGCAGCATGTCAGCGGAGGAGCTTCTGCGATTGGATGAGGTGAACGTTCTTATCAAGAAACAACTTGGCCTCGATATTACCCTTTTCATACATATATTGTACATGTATTCGTAAGAAATAAGAGTATTTGACTTGATAACGGTTACGATTCGCCGGTCATATGATTTTCATATTGAACTTGTGACGTATAGACTTCGTTTGGTTATCGCATCCTCCAATAATAATAAAGTGGGTGTATACTGATATTGCATGTAGATTCGCGCAAGTTATACGAAGATATCGATATCTTGTTCGGGCTACGTTTTTTATCGTCGTAAACGAGTTCGAGTCGATACCGAGAGGCAATAAGTTTTTCCGTGAGCTTTCCTCATTCGTGTTATTGCTAATAAACTGTGCGTTTAAATTAACGCGAGCAATATATCGCTTTTCAAAGTAATAAAATTACTGTAAAGATAATTATTATTCGAAAAATAAAGACAATTTTTCGATAAAATTGATACAAGATTATTAGCGCAGAAAGATTTCATTTTGAAAAGCTTTCGTTTCTTTCTGTAGACTCAGTATTCTCGCTGGTTGGATGTGGTTTTGCGCGATAAGAAGTACCGGTCGCGAAGTTACACGCAGTTACATTTGATAGACAAAGTGAGAATTGCAAAATTATTTTGCGATATGGAGAACGCGTCGTCGCAATCGCTTGGTTCGGCGAAAAATAAGAAAGGTCTCTTGAGCAAGGTCGGAGCCGATTCGGAAGAAAACGATTTCCTCGAAAAACGTTTCTCTATATTCGCCACCGAATTTCGTTACAGGTCCGCAGATCATTGAAGATTCCCGGTCGCCGGAAGGAGAAGGAGAAGCTACCGAGCGGCATCACCGCGGATTACAGCGCGTCTTTCTTCGCGCATCTGGACCGCGACCTTCTGGACGCCACGCAGAATACAGATTCGGGTCTAGGCTCGACGATCAGCGCCGGTACCAGTAGCTGGTCCAGCGTCAGGACACCCGACGGCTTGATGCAGAGCGACTCGTCGGAGGCGTCTCTCACCTCCCTAACGGCTACCACGACGACGTCGTCGACGACAACGAGTCATGCGGGTGGTAGGAATCTGCCACCCCTGCCGCCGAAGCCGCCCAAACGAGGGATCCTCAAGGGACCCCGATTGAGCGTGAACAGCGGCCTCGGGAGTGTCCTTTCGGAGGAGAACGCGCTGCCGAACGGCACCGAGACGAGTTACCAGGAAGCCAGCAATCTGCTGGTGAGGAACACTCTTCAGAACGAGGTGATAGCGTATCAGAACGTGCCGACGTATTTCAACAGCGTCCTGAACAAGGACGATCTGTGTAGCGAAGAGGAGACGGTGTGTCAGACCACGTGGCGCGTCACGACGCCGCATCAAACTCAGCAACACTATCAGCAACAGCAGCATCATCATCAAATCGACGCCAAACTGCTGCAGGTTAGATAACATTCCGCTTTCTCTTTGCGACTTCGCGCGTTACAGCTGCAATGTGAAACTCGATTATTACAGTTATTTGCAAATAATGAGACCCTGATGATGGGTCTGTTCATAATTTGACGTAAACGGATGATAAAAAAATTCCCTTCAAACAACGAGTGAATTGTGCCTTTCGTAATTTGCATTTTGCGTGCGATCATCGAAATATTTTTCCTCCTACGTAGCAGAGTTTTTTCTCTGTAAAATCGGCAATTGCTGTATCACAATTCTATAACTTTTATTAATTATTATTTTAATTTTCTCGAATTGACATTTCCAGTGACTGTCTCAAATCGACTGATCGATTTTTCGTGTAACACGTGAAAACGCCTCGATGTATTTAGGTCGTCACTAGTGCTAGTCCATCCGCGGATTCCTTGACGGACACGACGAACTCGAGTTTTGCCACGCCGCCGTTCAGCCTGTCGCCGGTCGGCGAGTCCCAGGGTTTCTCGAGGTGGCGTTCGTCGGTCTCCTTCGAGGAGCAGGGAATCGAGCTGCAGCTGCCGGAGCTGGTGCCACTCGAGCTACCCGAGCCTAGGGAGCTCACTATTCAGAGGCAGCCGCCGCCGCGAAGCGATTTCGGCTTTTCCCTTCGTCGTGCCGTGATCGTCGAACGAGCGGCGAACGGCGTCACCCAGATGAGGCCGGTGATCTTCGCCGAACCCGGAGCCCTGGTCCAGCATAACAACGACACGGGTCTAATACCCGGCGATAGGCTGATCGAGGTCAACGGGATCAACGTGGACGACAAAACGCGCGAGGAGATTATCGATCTTATTAAGAGCTCCGCCGGCAGCGTCACTGTAAAGGTAATCCTCATTTTAGTCATTTAGCTCATACAAAATAAATGCATAACCCATTATTTTAAAATGATTTTATTTTCATCGATATACAAAGCAATAATCTCCAATTAATTTGTCGAGCTATATCTCTTCTTTAAGTAAAAGTATTTGAGATAACATGAAACGCACAAATAAAGATAGTAGGCTTCTTTTATCTACCTAGACTAGAGAGATTTCTATTCTTGTTGAAATTTTTACGAAGACGTCAGAGTCAAACGATGAGAATGCTCGGAGCGTATCTGAAGACATTGTGCAAGAGATAGTATACTCTCTGTATCTCATCCTTTTCTCTTCTATAGAGTCCCGTCGCATAATGTCGATTTCTCATACCCTGTAAACGAACCTTTCTCTTCCCGGAACGCGCAGCTTATTAGCATAAGCGCGGTTTGGAATTTGATGGTATTTACCGGAAGATAATCATTCAAACGTGACGTCGCTGCACAGCGTCTTTACGTTTGATTATGAGCCCGATAACGATAATTATTAACTTATCGTCCGTTTATCTCTCATTATCGCGATCGTTGCGGTTGGCCTTGGATTTTCTTAAACGTTCTTAAAACGCTTGAAAAACACGTGTAAATGTTGCTCGGTATTGTACAGGGAAATCAATAATGAATATGGTGAAAGGTGCCGAGGAATCCTTAGGTCATAGAAAGGGGTCGAATGTCGTTTCGTAGACCTTAGATCCATTGCGGCGGCGAAACATCTATTGTATTTTAATAAATGACAATAACTTTGATATTTTATTTTAATCTATAATTTTATTTCATAATTCTAATCAGAATGCGAGATCGCTGAATATATTTTATGGGATAAAGTACAATATTTCAATTTTTTTATTAATTTTCGTGACATCAAAAAAATCCATATTTTTTTGTTTCACTGTGTCAAATAATATTATCCATAAAAAAAGAGAGAAAGGAAGAAAGACAGAATACTATGTCGGTTTCATTGATGCTCGGCTGGTCGTTAAAAGTGAGTGAATGCGCAAAACTTACGAGCGTCTGGTAGGACCCCAATGATTATTGCCGTGCGATGTTGGCTGGTTCATTGCCACTGTTGGCAACAAATATAGCGGATAGTGAGTCATGGTCTCGCTAATAAAACTATACTCGGGGGAGAGGATTGCGAGGGGAGCGACACTGCCGTGTGAAAATAGCAGAGTCTTACCGAGAATGAGATTTTCTCTTGCGTCGTCACCAGGAGAGACCAAAAATCGACTATTTCGAGGACGCGCGGCTCATAAAGGAGGAGATCCAAGCGCGAGGTGAGTCCGCTCGAATCCGAGGAGCGAAAAAGTAAAAGGGGGCGGCGTGGTGGAGAGACGCCCAAGAGTGTATCTGACCTTGCCCCGCGTAGAATGCTAAAAATGCCGCCGCGTTCCCGCGGCAGAAAACGAGGAGATGTGCACGATGATTCTGTCATGCGTTGTGTCCGTTCTCCCTTTCACCGTGCGTCACAGAATGCAATCTCCGGGGTGGATTCGGATCCTAATCCGGAGATTTCGTGCGTCAGCGCGCATCGGGGAACGTCGAAGAATCGATATACGTGAGTCTCTGTAAATGCATTTTTCGCGTATAAACAATGTCCAATAGCGAGGATGAAGGTAATCACGATGATGGAAAAGTGGATGATGTTAGGTATCTGTAAACATACTCGGTTGAATTTATTTGTGTGTTTAAAATTCTCAAACAACTTGGAATCTCTCAATTCGATAACACGTAGACACCCGAAAATGCTAGGCATGTCAGGATGTGTAGGAGAGAAAGGAAATAAGCGCTGGAGCGAGGGAGAAAGACGCAGAGGGGGAAAAACCGGATGTAATTCGCTCACAAACCGAGCGTGTTATGTGCTGCATACAGGACGTGTTAAAACTTGCATACTTTTTGCTAGAGATTCTTCAGCGAGAATTTTGGAATTTTTTGGCAATTTTGAATTGTCACGCATACACAAAATTTCTGAATAAACTAAAACTTGGAAAATTGCTGTCATATTTGTGGCAAACCAGAGTGTGCACGTGTACATCTCTGTTCACTTCTCGATTCCATCCATCATCGCAATTTCCATCTATCATCGCTGGAATCGAATAATATGGCTACCGAATGATAAACGGTAAATATTGGAGAAGGCAATATCTATTGTGTGTTTTAGTCTCTCGATATATGTACGTGGGAGATCCGATCCTCGTGTTCTCTTTCTCTCTTTCTCCCCGTTTTCTCTCTTTCTGCGGCAGGGCAACGTCTCGACAGAAAGGAGAAACGTGACGTGATTTACATATTTGTGTATAGAGGTAACGCGTCGGCAGGCCTCTCGGTCAACATCCTGCTTCCTGTTCACTGTACGTCGCACGAGCTCGTGCGTACATAAGTCATACACGTGCCCCGTTATACACGCCCGATAGACGAAGTGTGCGTATCGAGTACGCAGACATGTCGATAACAGGCGGAGTCGTTTATAACGGTGATTAATTGGAATTAGGCGATCGGAGAGAGAGAAGGGTACATAGTACTTCGTATGACTTCTGCGAAAAGTTATTACTGTGCAATCGAGACAATCGATAGAGTCCCAAACTGTTTTCCTTTCCGAGAATTTTAGAGTTTCCAAGATATAATAAAGCTAGATCCTGTTAATGACAGATTTCTGGGATCATTTGGAGATGATTTTTCCTCAGCAAAATTTGCATATTTCCAATTTTTATCATCATGTGGTTTTTACAACAGAATCATAACTTGAAATTCTATTAAAGTAGACTGTACCTGAAATTAACTGAAGAATATGGTTTTGTTAATATTTTATTAGTTTGCGAAAAATCCTTTATTTTCCACAACTTGAAATTAGTGGTGCCTCGACATTTTCGCACTGAGGAAAAATCATTTCAAGAATCCATCATTATAACAAATGGTCCGGTAGGTTTGGGACACTCTGTATATTAGAGAAGAGTGTATTTTCCGACTATTAATATAAAAAAAAAAAAATACATTGTTATATCTCTCTCTGAGAGCGATAAATGTACATACCTGTCACTTTGTGTTTATATCGTGCGCGGATATTCGTGTGCGGACGCGACTATTCATAAGCGAAAATGAATCTCAGTCGCAATTGTCCGCACGCTCAAGGGCGTACTTGCGTGATGCATGTTAGTATTATAGATATTAACGCCTGTCGATCTCGTTGCAGGTGCAGCCGGTCGCCGAGCTGTCGGAGCTATCGAGACGCGGCGGCTGTGACGGACGTCAAGTCGAATTGGCACCTGCGAATATCCGCGGCGGCACGCTTCGCCGATCCGGCAGTTTGCGGTTTCATCAGAATACAGTAAGCTTATCGCCACAGTTGCTTATCGACTTAGCAACTTAAATGCTACGAGTCAAGTTCGTCGAGATCTTTTTTCTTTTCGAAATAAAGGAGAAAATGAACGAGTGTAAGAAGAAAAATCTATCTTGGCGCAAAATCTCTCTATAAGCGAATAACAACGTGAGAATTCACACGTTGAAAGATATAATTAAGAAGTCACGTTCATTGACTTGTATCATTCAAGTTTTTTACCACTTCAATTCGCCACGCATGAATTATTTCGCTGTATCATGTCAGGCTCATTCTGGGCTTTTTCTGTTCAATCACCTTTCTGGCATACGTGTTTCAATATATTACGTAGTTTCTTAGCTCATTAAAAATATCTACGACAAAACGTCACGTGTATAAAAAGAAGGCCGAAGAATAAAGAGGGCATGAAAATTGAATATGAAGGACAATCTATTTTAGCGAAGGATGCGCAGAGAAATGGAAAATGACACAAGGGGTACAAAAAAAAATACATCGGAATTCGATAGGATTGCAGTGTGATATAGCAGCAGTGGAAAGAGGAAGACAATAGTAGAGTTCACTTTCCACCCACATTCCCTAGAGCAACGCAGTGGCATAGCAATCGCATAACGGTACATCTACTGCTTCGTACCGTAATATCTCGTTTCCGCCGAGCTTCGAGCTGCTATATCTAGCTATGGGCGTAACTTGTTCCAGGAAAAACCAATTATTTCATCAAATTTGTCATGTAAAATCGAATGTCACCCAGCAATTAATATTGCAGAAATTTCAAGGATTTATTATTAGCATAATTTTTTATTATCTTGAGCAGATTTTTAGCATAGAATTTACAAAACTCTCGGTCGATCAGTTAACTCTCGAGTTAAGAGTCTTACAATCAAGAAATTTAACGATCGAGAATTGGTGTTTAATTAATCGTAAATGGTGGAACGATGGACAATGTTTCGTTTGAATCGTGTGGATCGTCGCATCGGTCGATATATGGTCGTCCGTCGGTGATCACACCAAAAGAGGTAAAAGTCGAAACCGCAACTACCGCAAATAAAGCGAACGATTGCAGAGTACAGGAAGACGAGTCAGAATGTAATCCGCATTGATCTCTCGAATTGACGTTTGTTCATATAAAGCGGGAATGAACGCACGTATGTCTCGTTATTTTTCCGCACGGTATTTCATCGACACAGTCCTCCTTTATTTCACAGCTTCGTTAGTACACGTAGTTGAGAGCTTGCGGGCTTTCGAGCTGTCTTCATTAAATTAAACCGTCACGTGACATAATACGCATTCCTACTCGCTATCGTGGACGAGATCGAAGCCCCGTTATAAACGAAATTATTATTCGTACTTGAGACCATTAATGAAGGAAAAATGCCACGCTATATTACTAAAATAATTAGCATTTAACTTGTATATTTTTAAAAATAATTAGTGAGTCGTACTCGAAAATTATTAGCATCTCGATAAGATTTTGATCGTATTTTTATGATGATAAAAATTATGGGAAAACGAGATAATACGTTTGTTATACGTATATAAACACGTTAAGTTTATAGTAAATATGAAACAGTGTATTGTAGGGAAGACAGGTAATTCAATTGTCAGCTTCAATTGAATCAGCTGTGTAAACTTTCTTAACAATCGCGTCGATCTCACGATTTAAAGTCAAATTGTCAGTCTCGATTAAACGTCACAGATATATATATATATATATATATATATATGAGAAATAACGCAATTATATCTCATAAACGAAACGTTATATGAGCGCTACGTCGTCGAAAGACGAACGTCATTGCTCGCTGCGCAATTTGACGCGAGTAACGACGTGTCGTAATTGGCAATTAGCTCTAACAAAGTGCGACTTGTGGCAGTGCTAAAACGCATAGCAAAATCGCACGGTGATATTTACTGACTGCCGGTAAAGCCCGAGGTATGTTGGCACACTAAAGAACGTGCTGCCAACATGCCGTTTTGAAGAACATCGTAGCGCGAGCAGACCTCTTCGTATTTCGCTGAAAAAGCATTTCATTAAGATTTCATTACATATATATATATTTAACAAGAATTCAAGAAAAACATATAAGTATTTAATATTTTTGGACAAATTTATGTAAATTTTTTCTAAAAAAATTTGCAATTTTTAATATTACAAAATGGATAATAATTTAAAAAGAAGAAAGAATTTATGTATAGAATTTGGTTTTATAAAAAAATATCTTGGGAATTTTCGTGATTATCTTCGAGATGAATGAAAGAGTGTCACATTTCAAAATGCCAAGATCTTGCAAAGTATCGGTGTGCATGCTGAGAAATTGCTTCGCAATTGGCCGCGATTGGCGAGGCTATTAATCAAAGAACCGACAAATTTGCAAAATATGAACTTGGTATTACGATGTACCGATCGCAGCATCCGCGTATAGCTCCGCTCTTTCTCTTTCTTTCTGTATATAGGTACTACATAAATGTCAAATTACGTAATTAGAATTGCACGTTACGCGCTACGCTAAATAATTACCGCCGTTACCGTCGTAACACTATTATTATGCCCGGGAGGAAGGCACTGGATATATGCGCGCATACGGAGATATTATCTCCGGCGGATCCAGTCGAGCTGGTTGCTTGTCGCAATATGTAGGCCAATAATGCATATTTTCGATCGCGTATATGCACTCGCGCGAGATAAGAACGCAAGAGCGAACTTCGCCGGTTTTTCTTTTCCATCTGGAAAATCACGCGCCATTAGATCCACGCCCAAGTCGTCAAACCCTTTGATGCCTCCTCGTTAAGAACTCTTATCAGTTTTCTTTCAGATCGATTTACGATAAATATTGTTGCTCGTAAAGAGACGGAATTCGTGAACCAACAAACGCGCGATAACACGTTCGATGCCGAAAGCGATGCACTCAGATGAGTGCAGTCTCGGTATGACGTCAGCTTATCGCCTATAAATATCGGGTATTCGGAAAAAGTGGGTTGCCCACGCGAGAGCAAGGAGTCGCGAGAGTTTAACGGCCTCTAAATGCGCATCTACGTCTTTGTAAGACTGTTGCTGGCATGTATCGCATTGATAAAGCGCACAAAAAATTTGAATATTTTAATTAGCAAAAATATAAATAATAACAATCAAACATTATTCTCTTTATTTAACTTTATTTAATGAACTTTACTCGAGCAGAATTTCAATATCTGCTGAGAATGTCAATCTAAGAAAAATAATTATAATTATGGAGACATTTCCAAATGGAAGCGTTCGAGAGATCATCATCGATGAATGCATCAGTTTTGTAGCCTTAAAAAATCCGGATAAAAGCGACGATTCGCTTAACTTTCCATCGGCGTTGCGTTATTTCGCAAAAAATGAATAGGCTATTCGAGCGGCTTTGCCGCGCGCGCGAGCGCGCGAATAAATTTGCATGCAGTCGCGATCAACGGGCAAAAGGCAAAGTCGGCATTCACGAGAATGCGACACGTCGGGGCGTAATTTAAATTTTATGCACGTAATCGCGGTGGCTCCACTTACACACACGCACACACGTGCACATATACATGCACGCGCGTACGTGCATGCCTCCGCTCTCTCTCTTATCTGCCCACGTCGATGCGTGACGATGTTGACGCGCCGTCAACGCCTGGTAGCGAGAGAGGCATCTTGATTGCAACAGACGAGCGATGCTGCGTGCATCCAGCTGATCCTTGGCGCCTCTCTAACACCGTCCCTCTCTATCCTCCCCCTACCTTCCCAACGTAGATGTGTTTTTCTCAATGTCTTCTCTTACTCCGCTAAAGAGTTAATCGGTCTCCATAATGTTAACGTACATTTTTTATTTCCTTGAATGAAACTCAATGCTCTTTAAGGATTATGAATAATTAAACTGACAGGTATAATGTTTCTTGTATGATAGATACTAAAATGGTATTTTCTGTCTCTTATATTCTTCATAGATAGCCTTTACATTTAGATATAATTATTTAGAAAAAAATATATATAGAAAAATATATCATATAATACAACGTCAAGTTTGAATGTCTCCATAATGTTAACGTACATTTTTTATTTCCTTGAATGAAACTCAATGCTCTTTAAGGATTATGAATAATTAAACTGACAGGTATAATGTTTCTTGTATGATAGATACTAAAATGGTATTTTCTGTCTCTTATATTCTTCATAGATAGCCTTTACATTTAGATATAATTATTTAGGGAAAAATATATATAGAAAAATATATCATATAATACAACGTCAAGTTTGAATGTGATAACGCAGAGCTTTATCAAGGGTCGATTAGGAAACGATAAACAGTGTCGGCGATACTTGAAATCGGAGTCATATCGTGAATGAATGTTTAGATTCAGTGGATGTTGTATACGTGTAGAGGTTTCTTTTAATACAAGCTGTGCGAGCGAACTTGTTCTTTCAAATTGGATCAAGAACCGCGACTTACAATTAGACACGCGCATTTGAGCATGTTACTCGCACTCGATGCAAGTACGAGTACACGCTATTGCAGATTTATGACTCGCGTCTGCTGCAATCGTACCAGTCAATCTGGTCTCTGTATCAACGTGAGTCATCGAGCATCATTATTTTCTCTCCGCGAATCAACAACATTTTATTTGTACGCAAATGTCTAAATTTTCGAATCTGATCGATCTATCCGATTTTGCCTCAGAAAATATTTTTATATGGTTCCATTGGTCCATTCAATTTCTTCCGGACTTCTAATGGATACTTCATTTTTTTTTCATGACAATTATCTCAATTAAGATACCTTTCTTAAATCCACCACCTACAACTGGTCGCAATCGCGCCTACGCCGATCACGTTACAACGCGCAAGGTCGATTTAGCAATTCGCGCAGCATGAACGACCAAAGGACTCGTTCTCCACTTTCTTTTTTTTCCCTCCTTTCAAGAACTCCGAGCGGCCTCGAATGACCTTCCAACGTGGATTCTATCGGTATTTTCGATGACAAGTGAAATCCATCAAT